CTCCCACAGTCTGGGACCCCTCAGGAGATAACGACTTGCTGGCTTAGGCCCACTCCCGGGTGTCAGAGGGCAAGCCCAATCCCTAGGTGCCTGCCCCGCAGTCCCTGGTTGGGCTCAGAGCAGGGCTGAGTCGGGAGTTGGGGCGCCGCCCCCTGTCATGCACAGAGCATGGCAGATCAGGAGGTTGTGATGCCACCCTCAGTCACACTCAGGGTAGGGCCAATTGGGGGGTTGGGGCGCCGCCCCGTTACACTCCAGGCAGGGTCGATGGGGAGGTTGCGGCGCCACCCCGTCATGCACAGAGCAGGGCAGATCAGGGGGTTGTGGTGCCACCCCTGTCACATAAAGAGCTGGCCGATCAGGGGACTGGGGAGCTCCCCCCTTTCACGCACAGAGCAGGGCCGATCAGGGGGTTGTGGAGGTCCCCCCCTGTCATGCACAGAGCAGGGCCTATCACGAGGTTGTGATGCCACCCTCAGTCACACTCAGGGTAGGGCCAATTGGGGGGTTGGGGTGCCGCCCCGTCACACTCAAGGCATGGTCGATGGGGAGGTTGGAGCGCTGCCCCGTCACCCTCAGAGCAGGGCCGATCAGGGTGTTGGGGCACTACCTCCTGTCACACTCAGGGCAGGGCCGATGGGGAGGTTTCGGCTCCACCCTGTCACACACAGAGCAGGGCCCATGGGGGTTTGGGGGGCCACACCCTGTCACACACAGAGCCGCAGGGCGATCAGGGGGTTGGGGAGCTCCCCCCTATCAGGCACAGAGCAGGGCCGATCAGGGGATTGGGGCGCCTTCCCCTGTCACAAACAGAGCAGGGCAGATAGGAAGGTTGTGGCCCCACCCCCTGTCACACACAGAGCTGCAGGGCGATCAGGGGGTTTGGGCGCTGCCCCGTGTCACGCTGCTTCAGGGGCCAGGAGGCCTTGCGGCTCCGCTGATCCCGGGGCTGGGAGGCATATTACCCTTTTACTATAAAGGATAGAGGCCTGGTGCACGGGTGGGGGCCAGCTGGTTTGCCCTGAAGGGTGTCCTGGATCAGGGTGGGGGGCCTGCTTGGGTGCCTGGCCAGCCTGGATGAGGCGATGATGGCTGTTTGCATCTGGTCACACCCCCTTCAGGGTGGGGGTCCCCACTGGGGTGCCTGGCCAGTCTGGGTGAGGGGCTGAGGGCCGTTTTCAGGCTGGCGGGTGACTGAAGCTCCCAACTGCTCCTTTTTTCCTTTTTTTTTTTTATTCTTGGATTTATGGCTGTCACTGGAGCTGAGAACCGGCTTTAGCTGTGAGACCTCGCTGTTGAAAGCAGGTTTCTGGCTTTGTTTACTTTCTGTATTTGAAACTTTGTTGTGACTCCAGCTCTGAGATCCCGGCTGACTGAAAACAGGTTTCTGAGGTTTTGTTTAGCTTCTATATTTGTAACAATGTTTTTTAGCAGCTCAGAGCCCAGCAGCGGCAGGCGGGGAAGGTTGGAGTCCTCCGTCACTGAAGCAAGCAAGCCTCCTGCTCGTGTCAGTAGCCTGGCTGCCAGCCGCCATCTTGGCTGGCAGTTATTTTGCATATCGCCCTGATTAGCCAATGGGAAGGGTAGTGGATGTACAGCTAATTACCATGTTTCTCTTTTATTAGATCGGATATATATATATAATAAAAGTGTTTCTTTAGAGCAGGAAGAGGTAGTATTTCTGTTTTTAAAGATGCTATAAAATTCTGAGGAATTCATAAATAGCTATAACTACATTAAGTGTAGCATATTTGTTTTGGTGCTTCTTCCTATGTATTTTTTCATTATTATATATCTCTCCTTAGACTGTAGTCTATAATGGTACAGGTGTTTTATATTTGAATAAAATTACAATGAAGTTGACTCCAATATATGGCCGTCCACTTTTTAGGGCTCTTGTTGAAGAACAATGGGAAACACATTTGAATGAATTACTTTTTTGGTTTTATTACATTTTATAGGTTAGACCAGCCGTGGGCAAACTACGGCCCGCGGGCCGGATCCAGCCCGTTTGAAATGAATAAAACTAAAAAAAAAAAAGACCGTACCCTTTTATGTAATGATGTTTACTTTGAATTTATATTAGTTCACACAAACACTCCATCCATGCTTTTGTTCCGGCCCTCCGGTCCAGTTTAAGAACCCATTGTGGCCCTCGAGTCAAAAAGTTTGCCCACCCCTGTGTTAGACTCTGAGCAAAATTCTTCATTGCCTTTTGTGAAGACTATTAATTGTAGATATATAAATTCTTTGAATTAACTTAAGAATGATGGTGCATGATAAGGGACACTGTCCATATAACCTGCCCTCCCCATGAGATTGTACCGTCTTGGAGTGTGAACCATTGTTTTAAGTCCTCCTCTAAACAGCAGGCTGTCGGTTCGTGGGGGTCTCTGCTGGAGGCACATGTTACATACTGAGATGAATTCATGCTCTCAATGCTAAAGTTACTTTTGAAAATCACAATGTATTCATTAAGCAATTACTTCTTACTGTGGTTTCCTCAGAACTAAGTATGAATTTATTTTTGTATTTATAGCTATTTTAAGAAGATATTTGCACCCTAGCCGGTTTTGCTCAGTGGATAGAGCACTGGCCTGCAAAGGGTCCCGGGTTCGATTCCAGTCAAGGGCACATGCCTGGGTTGTGGGATCTTCAGTAGGGGGTGTGCAGAAGGCAGCCAATCAATGATTCTCTCTCATCACTGATTTTTCTCTCTCTCCCTCTCTGAAATCAATAAAAATATAATAAATAAAAAAGATATTTGCACAAAAATTTAAACATTTGTAATGAAAGTATTCTCCAAAAGTAGTACCTAATTATAGAGGGTGTGCTGATAAACCTTAACAGTGTACTCTAAGAAGATGCCCGTACATTCCCTAGACTGGGTTATATCCACTTTATTTATATGTATTCCCCCATCCGGCATTATCTTGGAATTATCCGTTTATGTCTGTCTCCCTATTACAACCCTTGCTCTATGGAAAATACTCTTATCTAATTTTATGCGCCTAGTTCAGGAACAAGGGCTTTAAACAAAGCTATTTATCTGAACTGAACAACTTAATGATGAAATTACTATGAATCCCATCATCTGTAACTGTTTTGCTGGTGCCCTATAACAGGTTAGAATTTGGTTCAGAGTTCTTATGTTTTGTTTGGGGAGCGTATTCTTGACCTATTTCTAGGAGTATTTCACCTGACCTGGCTATTTCAGAATTCTGCTATGGGACTGGGTTCCAGGTGCTCACATCTTGCCTCACCCAGTGGTATGTTTCATCCCTGAGGGTAGGCAGCTGTGTTAGCTTTGCATTCTGTGCCCTCTTCCAGAAATAACTATACTAGTGCTGGACTGTGAGATCCTAGGCCTAGGGCAAAAGCCATGGAAGGAAGGTTTCTATGGTTCAGACTGATGTGGCCACAAAGCAGGGAGCTCAGTAAACTTTTTGTAGTTTCCATTGAGTGCAGCACCCTTTGTGCCTTTGTGCTATGAACAGGGCCAGGCACTGAATCCTCAAAGAAAAAAATCACCTTCAATCATCTTGGCTCATCCTTAAAGTATCGATCTGTATTATTCTCTGTGCCAGAAGCTTTCATTCATTTTAAACTCTCACAATCCACCCCCCACCCCTTTTTTCTTCCCACAGTTTGTCATTTGGGAATGATAGGCAATTCCTAATGGGATTATTTATACCAGTGGTCGGCAAACTCATTAGTCAACAGAGCCAAATATCAACAGTACAACGATTGAAATTTCTTTTGAGAGTCAAATTTTTTAAACTTAAACTATATAGGTAGGTACATTGTTATTAACTTAATTGGGGTTCTCCTAAGCTGGCCTTTGCTAAAAAACGTCCTCAATCTGAGGGGGTCGACCTCAGCCAACGTACCCCCACAGGCCGAAACCAACTTCTGCGCATGGGCCACAAGTTTCAATCGTACTGTACGCACTATACGTGGGCGCCCGCACGTGGTATTTTGTGGAAGAGCCACGCTCAAGGCGCCAAAGAGCCGCATGTGGCTCGAGAGCTGCGGTTTGCCAACCACTGGTTTATACCATGGAGTCCCATGGGACCTAAGGTTATAGTAATGTTACTAGTTATTGTCAAAATCCTTTTATTATCAAAAATCGACACATCAAGTGCGTTGAGTGCACTCATCTTAAGTTTAAGGCTCGATGAATTTTTACGTATGTATACATCTTTGTAACTACCACTCAAATCCAGACCCGGAGCTTTTTAAAACTCTTACTAGATTCCCTTGTGCCCCTTCCATCCCTCCAGAGGTAACCATTATTCTAAACTCTTACACCACTGATAAGTTCTGTAGGAAATTATTCTGGAGAAATGGCATGATTTGGCTCACAATCCCGCGGGCCTGGAAGGGACGCACCCTCGGCGCTCTCCTTTTAAAGGGCATCCGGCGGAGGTTCCAGGGGGTCCGCGGAGTAACGGCTCCGCTCACACGGGCCCGAGCCCGGCCGGCCAGAAGGCGGTCGGGCCTCACGTAGGCAGCGCCGGGGCACGCCACAATAGCCGCCCGCCCGCGGGCTCCCACGCCAGCCTCGCCGCAGCCCCTCCACCATTCGTGCGGGCGCCCTACCCGCGCGATGGGCAGCCAGCCGGGCGTGGCCCTGGGCGCGACCCGCGAGAACGTGAGTGGCCAGGGGAGGCGCTCCGGGGCCCGGGATGTGGGGCGCACGCCCATTGGCTGAACTTTCCCCCGTCCGGCCGCAGAGCCCACCTCCCCGGCCCTCTCTCGGCGCTTCCATTGGTCGTTTGCGTTCTAACCGGCGCCCGCTCCGCCCCCCTCCCTCCCGGATGAAAAAAAGGGTTGGGGGTGGGAGGCCAGAGCGGGGAGGCGGGTGAGCGGTCCTACTGGTAAGGGGGCGCGAGACAGCCAATCAGGCCAAGACGTCGAAGAGTGGCGCCGCGCCAGCCAGTCACATCCCGCGGTCCGGGTCGGGGGGCCGGCTGACGCGAGTGCGGGTCGCAGCCAATGGGCGTGCCGCTACCCGTCCGCTCTTCAGCAGCCGCTCGGGGTGGTGGAAGAGCCAGTGAGGAGAGCGCGACGGCGGCGGAGCCATCGGTGGGCGACGCGGGGGAAAGCGAGGCCCAAGCCTGTGCATCGAGGTGAGAGGCAGGACGCCGGGTGGGAGAAGCCGGGTGCTGGCCCCTCCTCGCCTGGCTCGGGCCGCAGCTGCGGGCGCCGGGAAGGCAGGCCGGGCCCAGTCGGGGGTTACACCCGGCGCCCCGCCCACGTCCTCGCCCCCGACTGGGGGTGCCGGCTTCGGACCGGATGGTCTCCGGTTGGGGCGCGCCGCTGCCCTCCGGAGGGCGGGGACCGCTTGCAGGGATGTAGGGAGGAGCCTGGTTTGCTGCTGCGGAGCCTGGGGGCGCCTCCCGGGGTGGGGAGGCCGGGAAGAGGCGGTGAAGGCGGGGCGGGGTAGCTAACGGAGGAGCGGGCTGGTGTGCACCAGAAGCCCGTGATTGAAGGATTCCAGGTCTGGGGAGGAAGAAAGTGATGGGAAAAGGTTGATGCTCAGAAAAGGGTGTCGGAGGAGACGGCGCGGAGCGGTGCAGTGTGGTTGGCCTCTGGTAAGTAGGCATGGGTAGAGGGTGGGGGAGTCAGCTGGGAGTGCAGGGAGGGCAGGCTTGGATTTTGAAGGTTAAGCGATGTGGACTGTTGGGGACACGTGGATCTGGAGTCAGAGGCACCTACTGAAACCGGAAGGTGACTGAGAGGAGAAGGGTTTTTTTTTTTTTTAATTTTTTATCTTTTTAGGTGAGATGTCGATAGAGGCTCCTTAACTAGAGAGCGCTAGGTGGCCAGTTAGGGGAAAGTATACGAGGGGCAAACAAGGTAGGTTTATGCGTAGTAACTGAAGGGTGTGGGCCTTTTGAGTGAGTAATAAATAATAACTCGGTTTTGGCAGCGACGGGAGAGCCAGATGTCTCAGGAAGGAGTCAGTCCGCCAAGTTCATAGGTTCATTCGCTGCGCTGCATCGAGGCCTAAACGTCCAGACTTGACAACTCTCGCTGCTGAGGCTGATCCATCATCCTCCCCTCAGCTCATCTGACTTGCTTTGCTTCAGCAGCGCACTCTCAGAATTAATGGCACAAGTGTTTGCTTTTGCTTGGATGGCAGTGAAGAATCGCTTGATTCTTTACATGGAAAAAAAAAAAAAGTATGCGCATTGTCAGAAGATAACTCTTAGAAAATCTGCCCTGTAGGGGAATTACTCAACTATCTTGCTGGGCATGAGTAATATTAACATAAAAATGATGCAGGAGTTGTTACGGTAACACAAGTGAGAGTTAACATGTAAGTACAATCCTGCTGTGCTACAGCATCAGCTATTTTGATGTAGTAGAATTTGGTTATGTATCATGCTTGCTGGGAAAATTTTCAGCCTTGGGAAGATTTATAGCTAACTAGGTTCAAAGTTCCTTTCGTTTAAGAGGAAAAGACAGACATGGTACATGTGTATCACCGTTTCAAGCTTTTGGATTTTTTATTTGTGGGGTGAGGGCAGGGGTTGGGGTCAGAGAAGAGGTAGTAGAAAAGAAAGAGTGGCCCGCTACCCAATTTCCAGTGGCATTAAGTGGGAGGAGGCGGTAGGCACTGAGGTATAATTTCTGCTTGAGGATACCACAAAAAGAATGTGAAGAGTTCAGCACTTTTGACAAACATAAAATAGTATAGGGTCAAGGACAGAAACCAAAGAGGGCATTCATTGTATGTGTAGGGTGCTTCCTTATTCAGGGGTGGGCAAACTTTTTGTCTCGAGGGCCACAATGGGTTCTTAAACTGGACCGGAGGGCTGGAACAAAAGCATGGATGGAGTGTTTGTGTGAACTAATATAAATTCAAAGTAAACATCATTACATAAAAGGGTACGGTCTTTTTTTTTTTTTTTAGTTTTATTCATTTCAAACGGGCCGTAGTTTGCCCACGGCTGAACTAGATCAACAAAGCATTATAGCTAATGAGCCATTCTTTGGGATGTAGAAATAATTTTGTGGAAGTAATTTCTTGGTAATGCTACTCATTGATCACATTATACTCTAAGTATAACAGAATACCCACGTGCTCACAGGTGCTGAGGCGACTCAGAGCAGAGAAGGAATCTGAGTGGTGTGAAGTTATATTTACTCAGGGAAAGTTTCTGGGAAGAGGTGAGTTTTGAACCATCCTTGGAATTAGGAGTTGGGATTTGGGTTATTGGAGGACATGAGGATTATAATGAGTGACAAATGAAATGGCTTTAAAGGAGGATTGAAGGTTTGAATAAAGATTTAAGGGTGTGGACTTCAACTAAGTTTGTTGTAGCTTAGTTGATAAATGATGATTCTGTATTATGATAAGAGAAGAATTAGAATAGTTGATGATTGGAGATAGGTAGTAAAGGAAAGATCATAAAAGTATTTTTTGATAGTTATAAGAGAATATGGTGAAAGTAAGTTGGGTTATTGAGAGGTAGACTTGGTGTTCAACTATGTATAATAAACATTTTTGTGTCTTTTACTAGATTATGTTGATAATGGTAGTATAATTTGTTGGATTCTACTTTGTGCCAGCCACTGTTTTGAGCTTTCTGAGCATCATCTTTCTTTGATTATCCCTATTTTATAGATGAGGGAACTGAGATTCAGAAAGATTTAATTTGCCCAAGATCACACAGCTAATAAGGTCAGGATTGGTGTAGCCAGTCAATAAACATTAATTGAGCATTTGTTTCATGTCAGGCACTGTATTAAGTGCTGGAGATTCAAAGTTGATAGCAAATCCAAAGGTCAGGTCTGAGCTATTTTTTTTTTAGAGATTGTCATGAGTTAACAGAAGAGAGCCAGGGAAGAAAGAGAAAAAGATTAGTTGGAAGGACTTTTGTAGACACTGAGCAATATACTGTTTAGGGAAACTTAGAATTTTAAGAAAGAGGAAGTGGTCAGCAGCAAACTATATAGCTGAGAGACTCAGAAGAACAAAGATTGAAAAGAAACTATTGAGTTAGGTAAGGGGAAAAAGTATTGTGAATTTAGTCTCAAGAAAGCCAGAATGAAGATATTAAAATACAGGCCAATAGTTAATCATGTTTAATGGCAAATGCTCTATACAAATGTAAAATTTGGTATGATCACAGTTATGGTCAAATTCATAGAAAAGATGTTGGCATGTCTCTTTGTAATATTTTAATCTTTGGCTGATAAGATTGTGGGTGGTTTAAAAATGCTTGTACTTTTAGTATTTTTTCAAATAAAAAATGAGCATTATTTTTGTAATTAGTGGGGGCAAATTATTCAACTGAAATAGGGACTGTGTTTGTGGGCTAATGCTAATCTGAATTGTGTTTGGGATCAGAGAAAAAGATGGCCTTTACTTCAGTGCCTACTGCATATGAGCCACTTTGGTAGGCACATTCCCATCATAGAATGTCTGGGTTGTTACCAGTGTGAACATCCTGAAACTACATGTTGAAAGATAGCACGTGCTTAATCTGAGGGATCAAGTTGACTAAAGCACCTTGAATCATGAAGATAGGGTTTTGACTCTCCTGAACATTGTTTTCTTTGCATTTAATAAATGAATTAAAGGTTAAAAAGAAAACAAACCACTAGTACAGATGAGTTATTTCAACTTTGTCTTTTGGCCTTTTATTCTTTCCTCTTCCCACACGTTGGTTCTGTAGTTCCTCTCTTCAGTGGGTTTGTAATGGGCTTAGAGTCCCAGTTCAGTAAAACAATATGAAAGTGCTGAATTTGCATAAAACTGAAACACTTAAAATTTGTCATTGTTTTCTGTTCCCACTTTGAAGAAGAGACTGATTTCAAGAAAGTAAGCTTTTCTCATCAAATTTCTCCAAAGGAGACTAGTAGGATTTGCTCTAGGATCCAGTCAGATTTATTCCAATCTCTAAAGGAGAAAGAGAGGAATTTTGTAAGTCAAGAATAGGTTGTAGTTTTTAAAAAAATACATATTTTTATTGATTTCTGAGAGGAAGGGATAGGGATATAGAAACATCAATGATGAGAGAGAATCATGGATTGGCTGCCTCCTGCACACCCCCTACCCGGGGATTGAACCTGCAACTCGAATGCCCTGACCCAGAATCCAGCCGTGACCTCCTGGTTTGTAGGTCTGTGCTCAACCACTGAGCCACACCGGCTGGGCTAAGTTCTAGTTTTTAAATTTCATTTAGCCTATAGGGATTGTGGGAGAAAACAGTATTTCATCTAGGTACTGTAGTTCTTTTTCTTAAATTATCACGTTTAATTTTCATATAGTTCTCTAAGGTGGCTATCCCATTTTTCAGATGAAGAGAATGGGGCTCAGAGTAGTAATTTTCCAAAGGTTGAAAAGATAAGTGACAGAGCTGAGAGTCAAACCTTGCTTTGTCAAAAAACTCCGGAACTCACGCATGTGAGACAGTGGCAAGAGGAACTTGTTTACTTGAATACCTGCAATTGAAGGGAATGGCACATAGCCTTAGGTGTTTAGTAACTATTTGTTACCCTTAGAAGGGATTCTTACTCTGTGTGTTTGTGCTTTGTGACAGTGGCTCTTAAATGATAGTAATTTTTGTGTCTTATTGAGTGTATTATATTACATTTAGAGGTGTGCTCACATTTTAGTATTTTTTGAAATGAAGATGTATTTACAGTGCTATATTTATTTTAAGATGTTTATGAAATGGATACTATGTCTTAAAATTTAATGTGTCTCAGAATTGAGGTAGTGTGGTATATGCATATAGTCTTCATGTATAACTGTCTTAGTATTTTGTTGTGTGCAATTTCTTCCCAACCTCCTCTCTTTACTTAACCAATTACTTTTTTTTTTCAGTATGGCACAATATAGAACTGAAGTATATATTAATAATAAAATAGTCATTCTCTTTAGCTAGTGAATATTATAGTGTAGAAAAATCCTGTGATGTAGAAAATTTACATTGCACTGTGAATCAGCAGATCTGAGTTTTAATTTTGGTTTTGCTAGTAACTTGATTTATGACTTGAGGCAAGTCACTTCCCCTCTCTGAACTTTAGTTTCCTCATCTGTAAATTGGAGTGGGGTGGGGAACTTTCAGACCTGTCTGTCTTAAACAAACTGTGTGCCCTCTTACTTTTTTTAATCCTCACCCCGAGGATATTTTTCCAATGATTTTTAGAGAGAGTGGATAAGAGAGGGAAAGACTGAGAGAAATATCAATGTGAGAGAAACACATCGATGGGTTGCCTTCTGCACAAGCCCTGACCAGGGCCCGGGCTGGGGAGGAGCCTGCAACCGAGTTTCATGCCCTTTACCAGCATCGAACGTGTAACCCTCAGTCTGCAGGCCGAGGCTCTATTATCCACTGAGCCAAACTGGCTAGGGCTGCCCTCTTTCTAATAAAAAATGTGGGTGCTATAAATCCCTTTCTTAAAAACTGTATTTATTGCTTTTGACTATTTCTTCTTTCTCTTCATCTCCCTGTCTTCCTTCCTGCCCATTTTCCCCCATGGATCTTTGAGGGTACTGTTAGATTTTTAACTTATTAGTGAGGGTGAGTTATTTTTGATACCCTGCATTTACCAGGACAGGATATCTGAGAAAATAGGTGCCTATTAAATAGTTAATGAATGAATAAATGTATTTTATCTGAATTAATAAGAGAATTATTTAAATAGAATACCATCTGAAAGCTTTTGAACTTTTATTGAAAGATAATTCTGCCTAAAGAATGAAATGTGAGACATAGAACCATGAAACAGACTGTGGAATCTCAGCGGGAAGGCAGGTGCCGGGGAGGGGTGGTGGGAAGAGATCAATTAAAGAACTTGTATGCATATATGCATACTCTGTGGACACAGACAATAGGGTGGTGAAGGCCAGGGGTAGGGGCTGGCTAGAAGGGGTCAATGGGGGAAAAAAGGAGACATAAGTAATACTTTCAACAATAAAGATTAAAATAAAGAGAATGAAATGTGTTTTGTAAAGTAAATTTATCTGCTTTCTATTGGTCAGGTGCACACAGAAGAAAACTACTGGGCCTGTCTGTAAGAAGCTCTCTCTTCTAGTAGAAGAGGCAGACTTTTAAAAACTTTGTATTATGGGAAATTGCCAACATAAAAATACAATAATATGCATATCAGTAACCTTAACAATTTTCAGCTTGTGGTCAATCTTGTTTTATCTGTACCTCCATCCACTTCCCCATTATTTTATTTTGAAGCAAATCCCTAGACATTTTTACCAGTGATTACCAGATACTATGATAAGTGTGACAATAAATGTGCTAATAAAGTGAAGTGGAATTTTTAAAAAAGTATATTTTATTAATTATTTTTTAAAATATATTTTATTGATTTCTACAGAGAGGAAGGGAGAGGGATAGAGAGTTAGAAACATGGATCAGCTGCCTCCTGCACACTCCCTACTGGGGATGTACCCGCAACCAAGGTACATGCCATTGACCAGAATCAAACGTGGGACCCTTCAGTCTGCAGGCCGACGCTTTGTTCACTGAGCCAAACCAGTTAGGGCTGGAATTTTTTTATATATATCACATGGAGACTATAGATTATATTGTGCTGGGCAAAAGAAATTAGATATAATAATCTGTAGAGCAGGAATAATGTAATTGGGGAGACTGAGTGTGCATATATAAAATAGAATGTAGTGAGATCATATGTCAAAATTGGTTATAGAGATTCTAAGTGGGAAATGACATTATTTCTGAATCAAAGTAGGATTTAGACAGGGATAAAGAACATTAAGTGGAGGAGGTGAGGGTGATCACATGGAGAAAACAAGTAGAAAAATGTAATATTTTTTTTTTAGAATATGTTTTATATAAATCTGTACCTCTCTATATCTTTTAGACCCCTGTAAGATGTTATTGACATACTGTAGATCTTACATCAATACTTGAAAGAAGCCAATTGCTTTATTACAAATTATGACACACTACTTTGTGAATGTCCATGGTGAATTATTTGACACATTCCATTAAAAAGCCTTCTGAATATCTTAGTACCACATGTATTAATGGATCCATTTTGTCTAGAATATTTGTGTGTGTGTGAGTGTGTGATCAGCTTTGAAGTATGTCATTTTGAGGTTTTAAATAGTGGCTGGTGTGTGTGTGTGTTTAAATGTTAACCATTTGACAGTTTTAGAATTACTTTGAAATATCTAGTTTACCTATTTTATGGAATTCTTACTAGTCACATGAGCAATCCTTGAATTTAAGGAATCTTACCATTATATCTTATTATTTGGGAGTATTGTCTTAAATATTTAGAAATATTAATTGGAAATAAAATATTTTTAAAAATATATTTTTATTTCATAGAGGAAAGGAGAGGGAGAGAGAAAGATAGAAACATCAATGATGAGAGAGAACCATTGATTGGCGGTCTCCTGCATGCCCCCTACAGGGGATCAAGCCCACAACCTGGGCATGTGCCCTTGACCAGAATCAAACCTGGGACCCTTCAATTTGCAGGCCGGTGCTCTATCCACTGAGCCAAACTGGCTAAGGCTGGAAATAAAATCTTAAAATATATTCATAATGCAGAGATTTGTAGTCAAAGGTCATGAACCTGTTTGAGTATCTCCTTAAAGCTTTGTGCTATCTCCTCAGAAAATATACATTTAGTTTTTCATATAATTTCAGGGGGTTAATAAGACTCTCAGAACCTACTTAAATATCCTTGGGGGCCTAGGGATTCTGGTTTAATAAGCCATTCTTTAATGTATAGGCAGAAAGCCTACTGTTAAAATTCAACTCAAATTTATTTCTGTGTACTGCTCACCTTTTACAAGCAGTCTTTTTTTTATTATTAAGTGATAAAATTATAAAGCTCATTATGCAAATGTTAATTTTAAAAAATACACCACTAAATTGGATTCTTGGGTGAAAGCAAGCTATAGCTGGTTTAATAAGTTTGTAGGAATGGTTTTACCAAAGATTTTGGAATAAGTGTATGGTACTTTTTATAATGGCTGCTCTTTATTCTGAATTAACAGGAAGTAGAATATATGATATAAGAATGAATAAATGTATAAATACCATTTTTTTCAGAGACAAAAACATTTCTTTGACTTATCCTGCCCCTTACATAGTTAAGATTTGTGGAGGAAAGAATCTATTAAAGTATTTTGAGGTTTACATTTGTGTTAAAATAACTCCTTGGTGTGATACAGGGGTTTAGAGACATATTTTGGCTGATGAAGGATTGATTCTCAGTGGAGTCCAGAGATCTTAACATCCATCTAATTTCAAGGATGGTCCTAAATAAGTTTCTTAGAAATATGTTGTTTTAAAAACTTGTGGATTGTACCTATAAAATGAAGTCAAAATAATGGTTTTTACCATATGGAGAATCCTCAGGAGATAGGAACAGGTGAATTAGCTGCTATTGGGACATTTGACTCTGCAGAGCAGTACATTGATTGAAGATCAGTGAGTATTAGATGTATTGCTTTAAAGTGATAACCCTTGTGATGTATTAGAGTTAATAATTCACTGAGTATCTAATGTACTATTAGGCAACAACTTATTTTAATACGCAGTAGTAGATATATAGACTTTGAGAGCTTAACCATCAGTGATTTGGCCTCCCCTTCAATGAATTTTACCAATGATCAGAGCAGTTAATTGACATGTCCAAGGTTAGGTGGTTAGTGGCAGTCCCGTTAGTGTAGTTATTCATTACCCTACTGATTTTTTTAAGTCTGTTGTGCTTATATATTTTGGCTGTCTTTTCCTTTTGGATCTCAGTTTCTGGAGAAGGAAGTATCTTAACACTAGGGTTTTTAGCATTATGACTTTGATTCTCAATTGATAAATTGATGAATTCCTTGAAGTTTTATACTGTAATGCTTTTACTTTGCTATGCATGTTCTTATCTTTAGCGGGGTATGCTTCTTAGGAGCTTGAGTCATTTTCACAGCTGGAAACAGATACTAAGAATTCAAAAAGTCGCCCTGGCTGCTTTGGCTTCGTGGATAGAGCTTTATTTAGCCTGAGGACTGAAGGGTCCCGGGTTCGATTTTGGTCAAGGGCACATGCCAGGGTTGTGGGCTTGATCCCCCAGTAGGGGGTGTGCAGAAGGCAGCACATCAGTGATTCTCATCATTGATGTTTCTAGCTCTTTCTCCTCCCTCTCTGAAATATATATATATATTCTAAAAAGTCACCAGTTTCCTCAGGTTTTCTATACCTTTCTGGGCTGGTGATCCCTGCCTGACAGCATTTAGTTGAAAGCTGTTATGTGAACCTGCAGAGTTTTAAAGGTAAGCCAGAAAATGATTTTTGAAAAGAGGGTTTGCTAAGAGATTTAGTCATTTTAAGACATTTCTTGGAAGCTTCTTACTCAGAACTAGAGACATCCAAGTTCAGGGAAGTTATTACTTTCACGAAAGGCTCTGATTCCAAGTCCTAATGTCACATTTGGTTGGTATAGACCTGGTGGCCAGGGAGAAGACCTGTCCCTATAATTAGTGACCCTGTAGTCAGGGTGAGGACTCTTAGAACAGTGACTCTCAAGCTTTTTTAATCCTGACCCCTTATCTGGGTCATTCTTTACCTCAATAATTCCCACTTTTTAGTGGGATAATAACAACTAATTGTCAAAGTGCAAGCATTTTGGGGAAAGAGGGATTTTCTTTAGCAGTTAGGAATATGGATGATTGCTCATTGAATCACAAAAAATATACTACTTGTCTTAAAGCCTAGACTAGTTAGAAAAATGTAGGCCCAAAATATTAGTAATACAAATATATAATACATTCTGAAGTTTGACTAAAACAACTAAAGCCAAAATGACAATAATGAAGTTCAATTAATGGTAATTTTTAATTGAAAAGTAAGAACAATGATAATTGAAAACCATGATCTGCCAAAGACAACACAACTTCACTGGCAGTGAGTGTCCCTTTAGAAAATTAAAGAATTCAAGGCAGTGCTCTTGGTCTCCCAGATCTTTCTCGCTTCAACCGTGTTTGGGTGGAACAGACCCAGGGATGTCCCTTCTTCCAGCCTCTGACCATCCTCCAACCTCTTTTCCAGTCACCACCTTCCGAACCACCTCAGCCATCCTCAGCCTTTGAGACCAGCCAACACTGTTTTTTTGTTGTTCTTGTTTTTAACCTTAGCTCCTTTTACTGAACAACCATGAGCTCCCAGATTCGTCAGAATTATTCCACCGAGGTGGAGGCTGAGGTCAACCGCCTGGCCAACCTGCACCTGCAGGCCTCCTATACTTACCTCTCTCTGGGCTTCTATTTCAACCGTGATGATGTGGCTTCCCAGGGTGTGGGCCACTTCTTCCGAGTGTTGGAGGAGAAGAAGTTCAAGGGCGCTGAGCTTCTTTTTAAGATGCAAAACCAGCGAGGTGGCCGCATTGTTCTCCATGATGTGAAGAAGCCTTCCCACCATGAGTGGGGCAAAACTCAGGACGCCATGGAAGCTGCCCTGGCCTTGGAGAAGAACCTGAACCAGGCCCTTTTGAAGCTGCATGCCCTGGGTTCTGCCCATGAAGACCCTCATCTCTCTAACTTCCTGGAGAAACACTTCCTAGATGAGGAGGTGAAACTCATCAAGAAGATGGGCGACCAGCTGACTAACCTCCGCAGACTGGCCAGCTCCCAGGCTGGGCTGGACAGCCCCCAGGCTGGGCTGGGCGAGTATCTCTTTGAAAGGCTCACCCTCAAGCACCACTCGAAGCCTTTGGAACCCAGAGGCCTTTGAGAGGCCCCTCTGCATTCCCCTGGTGTCTGGCTTTTACCTGAGCCTCTCCCTGAAACCACTAGCCATTCTTTTAACCACCCTGAAGCCCTCTCCCATGCATTGGACCAAATGGAAACAATAAAAAGCTTTTTGCATCAAAGAAAACGAAAAAAGAAAAATAATTTAATTTTTTGGCCCTGGCCAGGTAGCTCAGTTGGTTAGAGCATCCTTCCAATATGTGAACATTGAGTGTTGGATCCCTGGTCAAGGCACATACAAGAAACAACCAGTGAATGCGTACATAGATGGGACAACAAATCAATGCTTCTCTCTTTCTCTCCCTTCTTCTCTAAAATCAATCAATAAATAGCCCTAGCCGCTTTGGCTCAGTGGATAAAGTGTTGGCCTGCGGACCAAAGGGCCCTGGGTTCCATTCTGGTCAAGGGCATGTGCCTTGGTTGCAGGCTCTTCCCTGGTCCAGGCCCTGGTCGGGTCTCCTGCAGGAGTCAACCAGTGATATGTTTCTTTCACGTTGATGTTTCTTTCTATTTTTCCCTCTCTCTTCCACTCTCCCTAAAAATCAATGGAAAAATATCCTTGGGTGAGGATTAAAGCCAATCAATAAATAAATAAAAAATAAAAAATGTAAAAGAATTCAAGCTTTGAGTGTGCATATGTGGTGTAGGAGCTTTGTAGTATTATGGCTGCAGCAAACAGTTATTAATTGTATGCAAATTAAAATCTTTGGTATATCAGCATGTTCATTTTTGTAACTCTTAATATCTGACTTAAGTCTGTTTATAAGGAGCCTTATGGATCAAAGGAAGGTCATGTTTTTTAAATAATGTGTAGTCCCTGGGTAGTCTGGCCCATTTTTGGGTCATTACCTTAGAAGGTAATCCAATGTATTTTGGAATACTATTTCTGAAATGCATTTCACTTTTCTGAGTCTGAAAGTATTAGGATAAAAATTTTATTTCTTAGCATGAAAATATTTTTATTATGGTAAGGAGAGATTATAGTACAATAGTTTGTCTAAAAAAGAATCATGTGTGACTTATGAAATTACTTTTGAAAAATTAGTGTCCCCTAACATGGCATTGATTCCATGTTTTGCCAGCAAAGGGACAGTTTATTACAAAACTCTGTGTAACAAGAGCACAGCCTTTCTTCGGTAGGCTTCAAAGTAGAGAAGTTACCCTAGTGGTACAGGCCTTGAGGACAGAAACATACACGAAGGAAAATGGATATTGCTGAAAAATTTGCTTTCTTGTTAGCAGATCATTTTAATGCTATAGAATTGACATTTTCTCACTAATGGAGTAGAACTTGACTTCTTAAGATGTCTTTGCATTTGATTTTTACATCACTCAGGAATTCTGAGTGTATATGTAATATTTTTCAGAATAATGAGGCCTTAGAGGCATTTTTAACTCTTGCAAAAGTGCCATTCTTAGGGACCAACATCAGTGTACAAAATACTTGTGTAGTGCCATAAGAACCTATTGAGATTACTTATTACCAAGAAGTACCTTCGACATTGAGGAAAATACGGTACAGAGAGTTAAGTACTGGTATCAGGGTCTGTGTAGGCAAACAGAGCGGCCATTATATCTATTTCAATGAGGGCTAACAACAGGGTTGGACACAAGCATCTTTTATTGAAAAAGAAATGTTAACCAAGATGCTACAGCTATTCTTTTGTTTGTAAAAAAAAAAAAAAAATGCCTTATAAGCCTTAATTTAAAAAAAGGAACCCATTATTATTATTAGCAAACTACAGTAAATAGTTTGTACATTTTGAGTTTGCATTTTGCCCCTTTATTTGCTGCTTACACTTTACTTTCAGAGGATGTTTTCTTTTATGTTGCATCTTAATCAAAACACTAAAGATTCTGGAGTTATTAGAACCAATAAACAAATAGTTCCCAATATGCCTCCAGATGGGAGTCTATCACAGATCTTAAAAGAAAGTATATACTTACTTACAAGGTGAGACCTCTTCATAGTCTAACTAAAATGAGTTGGTTTTCTTCTGTCTAGAAGTGTGTTAACTCCAAGTGGTAACTTACTGGTTACAAGCTCATAATTACATGAACATGGGATGATGACAGTTTTTATTAAGTAAATGAGGTTATTTGGTAGCAAAACATTTCCAACTGTGAGACTCATAGGACCATATTTTTTTTTTAAAGGCACTTGGGGCGACTAAAAAATGTAGTCAGGAACAACTCATTCCCTAGCCCCATGAAGTAGGTATAACATGGATTAAATGGTGGACAGTCTCAAGAGTAACAAGCAGTTACTTCACCATGCCCTTAGTGGCAGATTATATTTTCTAAAGATGGTTGTAACAGTATCTCCCATCTCAGGGTGACTTTCACTCTTCTCTTACTCTGAGGTGGGGTTTATGTCTCCTCTTGAGTTTGGGTGGTCTTTTGAATCATTTGTAACCAATAGAACAAGGCAGAAGTTATACTGTGGGACTTTCAAAACAGGGTCAGAAAGTAAAAGACTTGAATAGCTTCTACCTAGCTCACTAGAATATTGGTCTTGAAACACTTAGCAGCTTTGTAAGCAGTCTAGCCTGAGATCCTCATAGGGAAACACAAAAACTACCTCATGTAGAGAAATCATCCCAAGAGGATCTGGGCAAACTACGGCCCACGGGCCGAATCCGGCCCGTTTGAAATGAATAAAACTAAAAAAAAAAAAAAAAGACCGTACCCTTTTATGTAATGATGTTTACTTTGAATTTATATTAGTTCACACAAACACTCCATCCATGCTTTTGTTCCGGCCCTCCGGTCCAGTTTAAGAACCCATTGTGGCCCTCGAGTCAAAAAGTTTGCCCACCCCTGATCTAGGATCAGCTAGAACTGCTTAGTCAAGCCCTTCCCAAATTCTAATGCACAGATATTTTGAGGAAGAAAAATGATTGTTATTTTAAGACACTGAGTTTTAGAGTGATTTTGGTATATAGTAGTAGATAATCAGAACACTTCATTTTCTGAATCTGTTACTGTGTACTGAGATTTGACAGTATACAGGTGTGCAGTTAGGAATACACCCCAATGATTTGTTCTGGAATCTGAACATAACCTTATTTTGATTTTCTACCTTTTTATATAAACTTTTCTCTACCATTCTTTTCTATACCCATTTGGAAAAGCCATTCCATCTTACGTCTTTAGTAAGAGGGCTTTTTGGTAACTGAAACTCTGTCATGTGTATTTACTGTGTCATGAGAGCATATGCATCATCTTTAGAAGGCCTTTTGCTCTGTGCCTTCCTTTTAGTTACTAGGATATTTGGCCTTCTGATAGTTCCCTAGGGTTGCTGTAACAAAGTGGGTAGCTAAAAACAACAAATTTATTGTTCCACAGTTTTGGAGGCTAGAAGTAAAAAATCGATGCTCCCTTTGAAACCTGTAAGGGAATCATTCCTTGCCTCTTCCTACCTTTTTTTGTTGGTAAATTTGGCATTCCTTGGCCTGTAGCTGTATAACTCCCAATTTCTGCCTAAAACATGTGCTTTTGCTGTCACATGAAATTCTCCCTGTGCATTTCTGTGTCTTCACATGGCCCATTTATAAGGACACCTACTCTAGTCCTTATAAATGGGCCATGTGAAGACACAGAAATGTGTCTAGTGTGACACCTACTCTAGTGTGACATCATTTACCTTAACTAATTACATCTTCAAAGCTCCTATTTCTAAATAAAGTCCCATTCTGAGGTATTAGGGTTTAGTATTTCAATATATCTTTTTAGGGGGAACACAGTTCAATCCAAAACAGGCCTCAAGGGAGAGTGTATAATTATGTTTTAACCATTTACACATTTTTACTCCATATTAGATGTGAATGGGGTTTTTAATTAGTGACCATGAGGCTCTGTTCTCTTCATGTTAAGTCTCCCTTTGCTCCAGTGTGCATAAATAATACACATAAAATTTGATAGTAATTTTAAACTGTTTAGGCCAGCCGTGGGCAAACTACGGCCCGTGGGCCGGGTCCGGCCCGTTTGAAATGAATAAAACTAAAAAAAAAAAAAGACCGTACCCTTTTATGTAATGATGTTTACTTTGAATTTATATTAGTTCACACAAACACTCCATCCATGCTTTTGTTCCAGCCCTCCGGTCCAGTTTAAGAACCCATTGTGGCCCTCGAGTCAAAAAGTTTGCCCACCCCTGGTTTAGGCTCATTGACCCCTTTGAGAATCTGATAAAAGCAGTGGATTCTTCCTCTAGAAAAAGATAGTGAGGTATGCATTGTGTGCACATTTGTACACACACATATAAATACATGCAAACACAATAATGTTTTGGATGAAACTTTAACATGTTCCTGGACACACACCCTATTTGTTCATGAACTTCTGGATTAGACAGTTATTAATTTCCATTGATTAGAGATTCCTAATCCCCATTTCCCTTTTAGTGGAAAAATATATGGGGGAAGGTGGGAGAGTGAGGAAGCATAGGTATATGTATATAGAATTCCTTCATGGTCAATGCAGTTTTTTGGGGAATTTTCATATTTATTTGCTATTTACCATGTGTCTATATTTCCACCCATATCTCATATCTCATCTTTGTAAATATAAATTTACAGTTTATAAAATTGTAAATAACATACACGCCTGTAGAGAAGAGTAATCTAGGTTCTTTTAGACTTGTATTCAGTATATAAACAGACCTTTATATCTTGCCAGAGTGTTGAGTTAGCTTTTGACCTCTTTAAATTCTGTGGGGGTTTTTTTAAATTACTGTATCAAGATTTTTTTTAATAGGGTAGTGGTCTAGGTTTTTTGAGTTTGTGACAGGATTATATTCTGTGCTCTTCTTGATTTGTAACTTTTTCTCCAAAATAATATTGTCCAAGCCTCACCCCTGAACATCTTATCTTAATGGGCTTTCCTTTGAAAACACAGATTTTTTTTTATACACCTTGAAAAGGCTACAGGTCATGTCTCCTCCATTTTGCGTCTAGTCTGTGGCATATCCATATTTCTGAATCCTGGCATTCACAAATGTTGGTTCATTTTTGAAGCTATTATATCAAACAAGTATTTACTGTTCATTTTACAATGATATACACAGTAACTCTAGTAATACTGAAATCATAGCCAATAAATTTTTAGACTGTACTGGTTTCCTATTGATGCCTTTCTCATTTGTAGTTCATTTTCCAAATATGGAATATTGCAAGTCGTTATTTAGAAAAGGGTTGGCATATTATATCCTGCAAATTGTCTTTCTGTTCTTCTGAATAAAGTTTTATTGAAATACAGCCATACTCATTTGATTACTTTTTGTCCATGGCTGATTTTGTGCCTCAAATGTCAGAACTGAGTAGTTGTTA